AGGCTTTATTTTGCCAAGCGCAAAATGCGCTTCTCTTCTGATAAACAAGTGCTAGGATTTCCTTGTTGTTCTCATCAAACATATGCTGATGGTAGTTAGTGGAATATCCAGTGGATTTCAGCACATGCCTTGTGAATAATGGTCTTGATCACCTCCCAGTGTGTTTGGATATCACTGATGTTGTCAGATAGGTCAGAGAGCCTCTCGATAGTGCGTTGCTGAAAGGTCTCATGACTAGTGTGATTTTGAAGTACCCTGATGTTAAATCTCTTCCGCATTCCTTTTAGTTGTTTACTGTGTTGTGGTGCAAGCCACATGTTCATGATTGATCTGACCAGACGATGATCTGTTTAGCAGTCATCCGTATCTCTTGTAACTTGTATATATGGACATCAGTACGATCACAGGCTCTGACGATGACATAGTCAAGATACCTGTGTCCGGAACTTGGGTGGTTCCAAGTGGTCTTATATTTCTCCCTCTGTCTAAAGATGGCATTTGTGATAGGCAAATCATGCTCCACACATTTGCTGAGGAGGAGAATGCCATTAGACGTGACATTTCCTGCCCCTTCTTTTCCAGTGGTGCCCCTTCAGAGTTCGGTGTGTCACCCAACTCTTGCATTGAAGTCACCCATGAGGATAAACTTTACTTGCTTTTCTGTGGTAGTCAGGACTGCATCAAGAGCACAGTAAAACTGCTCCTTTTTGTCTTCCATCATCATCAAGTGTGGGAGCATACACACTGATGACCGTTGCATACTCATTGTTAACAAACATAAGACAAAAAGTCATGAGACATTCATTAATACCCATAGGAAGTTCTAAATACTGGCTAGCAATCTTGTTCTTGATGGCAAAACTAACACTAACGCCTCTCTTCGATGACTTTCCTTTCCAAAATATGGTATAGCCACCTCCATCTTCTTTCACTTGGCCTTCATCTGCCTGACTGGTCTCATTTAGGGCAGCAATATTAGTATAATATCTTGCAAATTCGCTAGCTGTTATGGCAGTTCTTCTTTCAGGACAGTTATTGCTTGGGGAATCCATGAGAGTGCAAATATTCCAACTGGCGAACTTCATTTCTTTGCTTTGTATGTTCCGACTGTAGGTAGAGTGATCCCCCTGGACATGGCCATCAGGCCGGGGTGTGCAAGAGAAAGCCTATGTTTAAGGCATCTTTTCTAGCCCCTCCCCCATTCAGGGTGAGCAGAGGTAATCCTGAAAAGGACTGCTCAGTCATGGGCGCAGCTACGGAATTGCACTTTTGCGATTTCTGTCTCAAAATTCCAAATGCAAGACGACCAACACATGGCCGCTGCCTGCATGCAGATTTGTGACTAGGGACTCCAGATATCACTGCTCCTGTTCCCCACACCACTCATCCATCACCTCAGGACTTTGTTAGTAGGAGATGTTAACACCCTTGGCAGAGGTCCATGTGTGAAATATTTTAACATGGGGAGGCGGTGCACTGGCAGCAACCTCTCAAAACTTGAAAGGAAGAAGCCCTGGACTTGGTGGCAGGGACGTCCATGACAAACGGAGGTCTCCGTACTGTTGCCCTCACCTGCCTTCACAGCTGCAGAGAACTGACAGGTCCTCAAACACACCTGTTCCACTGTTGGGGTCTTGAAGTTTGGACCGCACTTCATTTGGAACCTCACTTCAGAACTGTTTGCCAAGAGTGACCCTCCCAGGACTATAAGACTCCGAACAACATAGTTCTGAGGGTCATTGGGATACACAAGCCTCTCCACCACAACAAGGTAACAGTTCAAGGAGACGACCACCTGACCTAAAGAATGATAATGTGACAATTTTAAAGAAAGCGGACAAGTCAATGTGTGGAAATTACCGAGGCATTGTCCTCCTCTCCATTGCTAGGAAGATCCTCACTCGCATCCTTTTGAACTGTCTCCTCCATCTTGCAGAAGACATCCTTCCGGAATCCCAATGTGATTTCAGACCATGTTGGGACATCCACTGACATGATTTTTGTTTCTCAACAGATCCAAGAGAAATGTAGAGAACAACACCAGCCATTGTTTATGGCATTTATTGACCTAACTAAGTCCTTTGATTCCATCAATCATGAAGTCTTATGGAAGTTGCTGTCTAGGCTCGGTTGTTCATTGAAGTTCATTTGCATTCTCAGGCTACTTCATAATGGGATGACTGCCACCATCCAGTTTACCATCTGTACTGGTGTTAAGTAGTGCTGTGTTACAGCCCCAACCCTTTTTTCTGTCTTCCCATGATCTTGTTTCTTATTCATGACTTCCTTTCTTCTGGAATAGGGATTGAGTATCACATGGACGACTAGCTCTTCAACCTGTGATATCTTCATTCTAAAATTAAGGTCACCAGGACTGTTATTACCCACCTTCAGTATGCTGATGACTGTGCTATCCTCGTGCACACCAAGGCTGACTTGCAATCCACCCTAGATCTTTTCTCAGGTGACTATCATAGCCTCGAACTTTCCCTCAACATTGGGAAGACTAAAGTGGTCCACCAGCCTGCCCCAGCACAAGTTTCCCCCCTTCTCTCACAAATTGTCATCAGTGGTGAAAACGTTGGTAGCCACCTCTCCCAGATAGCCAATCTAGATGTGGAGATCAAACATAGGATCCATTGTGCCAGCTCATCCTTCAGAAAGTTGCTTCATCACGTCTTCATTGGCGGAGATCTGCGGATGTAAACTAAGATCCCGGTCTATAATGCAGTAGTCATCCCCACTCTTCTTTGTGTGTGCAAGACATGGGTGACATACTGAAGCCATTTTAAGTGTCCGGAGTGATACCAACAACACTGCCGCAGGAAGATTCTCCATATCAGATGGGAAGACCATCGCACCAATGCCACCATTCTCTCTTCAGCTAATACCATCAGTGTTGAGGCGAAGATTATGAAACAACAACTTTGCGGGGCTGGTCATTGTGTGCGGATGACTGATACTCGTCTTCTGAAGCAAGTCATCTCTTCTCAACTTAGTCATGGTAAGAGGACTTGCGGGGGACAGAGGAAATGCTAGAGGACACCCTGAAAGTATCTTAAGAATGGAGGCCATGAATTGGGAAGAGCTGGCTGGCAATAGACTGCAATGGCGTTGCATCATACATCAAGCCTCAGCCCGTTTTGAAGAGAATGTCCTTGCTCAAGAAGCTGAGAAATGGCAGAGGAGGAAGGGAAAGCATATAGCGTCCCAGCCAGCAGTTGTGCTCTCTCCAAGCAACCACCTCTCATATAGGTGGAAAAACCTGTAGAGCCCGGATTGAATTCTCAGCCATTTTTACTCTCATCAGTGACTCTCATCAGTGACTCATGAGTTACTCTCATCCCGTCAGACGTCATCCTTGTATTGAGGGATAGCTGACGATGATGACGATTTTCAAAAGCACCTAAGTAGGTTATGCACCTAATTCTTATTGATTTCAATAGGAGTTAGGCACCTAACCTGCTTAGGCACCTTTTAAAATCCCACTAGCGTCTATCTGTATCTTTAGGTATCTAAATACCTTTTGAAAATCTAGCCCTTTAGCCACTTAATGGCCGTGAGAAGAGCCTTAACTAAGGGCCTGCAGACTTGCTTCTTTTGGAGAATAGTCCGTGGAGAAACTTTTCACCTGGTACCAACTTTTGCACTAGGGAATAGAGAAAAAGTAGACCAAAACAGGGGAGCTATATTGAGAGAGAGGGGGAAAAGGAAAGAAAGAGAAGAAAATAGGGAGGGAACTGGAAGAGATAGAGGAAAAGAGAAGGTGATGGGAATGACCGAGAGAGGGAGAAGGGGGAGAAAGCAGAGAGACTGAGAACTAGAGACTTCACATAAAGGTAGAGAAAGAGAGGAAAGAAGTAGAGGATAGGGGGTGAAAATGTAAAGCAAAAGTAGATGAAAAAGGAGGGAGACAGAGAAGGATTAGGCAAAAAACAATCAGAAACAGGGAAATGCAGCAATGGGAAATGGCAGAGTCCTGGTGCAGAACTGTCACAAATAGGGGAATTTGTTATTACCCACCCAAAGGGATGGGAACTACTGAGCTAGATATACGTGTAGAGTGTAGCATTATTTGGTTTGTTCAGGGATGGGGAATTATTTAATTCTGCATCTTTCTAACTAGGAGTTGTAGAATTAAGATATTAGGGTGTGGGTAATAGAATGGAGTGGCTTGCGGTTCGGGAGTTACGACGTTTCAACTTACGATGCAATTTTCAGGAACTAATTGTGCCATAAGTCTGAGGACTGCCTGTATTTCATTTATGCTATAAAACGTAGTCTTTGTACAAGCACATGCTGGAAATTTTCAAGCTCTGTATTCAGTCATACAAATTCATCTGCTTGAGAACTCTATCTCATATTTTCTAGTGATTTCACACACAGTGACTTATAGCCATGTCTTTATCTTGTTCCATTCCCGATTCCCATCAAATTCAGTAGGAGCTTTAGGTGGTAACACATGGCAAGGTAAAGCTGTTAGCTTTTACTAAACAATAGATAAATGGGAAGTGCTTTAGCAACTCAGTAAATAAAATAAAAGGGTAGCCCTGAGGCACACATATTTGCTCTTGTTTAATTTCATAAGGAGTTGACTGAGTTTATAATGTTTTCATTATAAACATTATTGTAGGTTAAAAGCATAGTGTGAAAATATTTTTTTAAATGAAAATTTCAGTCCTGATATAGGTGGTCACAACTGCACTGACTTCAAAAATGTGATGTCTGTTTGTCATAGGACTTCAATTCACCTGGATTTGTGAATACTCAGCAGCTTTGAAAAAACAGGCTATAGGTGCCCAAAATTAGAAGTAAATTTTGAAATGTCCTTAATATTTAGCCTAAAGACTCTCTCTGAGTCAGTGGCAGAGCTCAGAATAGAAGCCAAGAACCTTGAATGCCAGGCCCTGTTCTAACCACATACCTTTTTAGTAAATTATTGCTTTACTGCTATTTAAAGCACTAGTAAAAAATTTCTTTCTTTTTCTTTTTCACCCTAGAAATTACCTCTTCAGGTTACATCTTGAGGATCTATCTCTAATCCAGGTATGTGCAATATATTTTTCTGTCTGTCTCAATTAGTTCCTGGTTTTGATTTGATGAAAAAGATGTTTCAAAGCTGTTAATCAAGGTATTCAGATGCTTCACAGGTACAGCAGACTGAATGGCTATTTTTGTCATCTTTGTTGCCCCTCATTATGTAAATCACATTACTCATTTTAATCCAGATTAGCCTTTGTCCTGGGCCATACAGTCCTGCTGTTATCTCACTATCTACTGTGATTTTAGTGAGAGTTAATATTTACAAAATGGAGGATGGGGAGAGAAATGGTTGCTGTACTGCAGAAGTGGTCTGACTTGCAACTGAGCACCCTGCTATGGTTTTGTTGTGAAACTCTCTTAAGAATCCATTATCCCTGTTTGAAAAGCATCTGTCCTTTCTTTGTAATTGTAAATGAAGGAGTGTACTCACATTTGCTAAGGAACAGCAAACAGCAAGGGAAAAACAAGGGTTGTGATAAACAAATACAAACTAATCTGCTTGCCTTATTTAATACAGCTAATTGCTTTTCAAAGTTATTAGAGCTTGAAATCCAAGTCTTCAGGCTTCAAGAAAAGATTAGAAAAAAACTCAGAGTAATTAATTTCCCCCCTGAACTTTGTAAGGACATAGGAAGTGTCCACATTCAGAATTTGTCATGTATCTGAGCCTTATATTCACACTGGCCTCTGAATCTCTTTAGTTTTTACAGCAGTACTGCAGTATTCTTTCCATGCACACACTGCCAAAGCAAAAGTATTTGTCATCCTTTTTGAGTTCTTGGCTCTAAAAATTGTTTTACTGAATTTGATTTAAATTGGCTGATGTGTTACGATACGGAAATACAAAATGTGTGCCTGATGTTCATAAGCTTTTCGAGTGATCCTGGACCCAGTTTCAAGCATATCTGGGCTACTTTATGTTTTCACTTTGAAATCACATTTTTGTAAATCCCAATAGTTAAAAAATCATGAGATTATCTGTCTTAAAAATAATATATATATATATAATTTCTGGTTTTTATGCTTCATATTTTCAAGCTTCTCTCCACAATCATGAGAGCTAGAAACTTAAAAAAGAACCCTGAGACTCACATAATCAAATGAGTACAGGAACAGGGGGTTAAAGAAAAATGCCAAATATCACAAGATTTGTGATAAAATCACAAGACTTGGCAACACTAATTAATCAATCATACTGAAACTCAGTGCAGTTCTCTTATGGTTTTATTGAGGTTTCATAATTGTCACAAAAATCTTCATCAGCTTTCATGTTGAGAGTTCTTCTTGGCTTCTGTCTTAGCTAGCTGGGCACTATGTTGTGCCACTGTTGATGTCATCAATGACATCATGAGGATGTCTGACATCAATATTGCAGCCAACAGACTGAGCAGTTCCTAGAATCTTCTTAATAGTTCCAGAGAGCTCCTGGGTGGCAGGCAGGGGGAGCCCACAAAAATCAAAATGAAAGAATGAAACTCTAAGTGACTGAACATTTTGAAACTTTACATAATGGCAGAATTTTTTTTTCTCCTAACCTGTCAATTTTACATCTTTGCTTTCACACAGTTGTTGTTATAATAATGACACAAAAACTTCAATCTAATTTTCTTTCCTGCTTTGATCACTTTGGTTACTTTACAAGAACCAGCCTTCGTAAGAACATGCATCTGGTTTACAGCTAATAATCTACATTTTCACATCTGGAAGAGGGTATGTTCAGTAATATCTAGCAGTAAGAAGTCTGCAGTGTAGCACAATAAGAACACAAAGGGGATGGAGACGATCCAGCTCAGAGATCTATTGTTAATTATTTTGGAAAATTTCTCAAGATCTATCTTTATGTTGTCTCTTTTCTGAGGGAAGAGGAAAATAGCTGAATCTTCCTCACTCACAGGAGATCAGGCATCAGAACAGAGATGAATATTCCAATTCACCACCTGTTTCATCAGTTTCTGAACAGATTGTTATAGCTTTGTTTATTTTGTGAGAATTGGCTCAAAGTTTTTGTTTGTTTTTCAGCCTAAACTAACTTGTCAATTTATTTTGACCTACTAATTGGAAGTGTTTATCTAAGAATCTGGTAAAGAGTAGAGAGTGCTGAGATTTAGATCTTGATCCTTAAGGCTAATGCACATGAATAACTTTGTGCACATGCCTGAGTACTCCCAAAAGCTTCAGTGGGACTACACATGTACTTTGCTTTGCAGGACTGGGCCCTTAGGTAGGGCCACACATTGTTATCACAAATGTCCAGAGTTTCAGACTAAGGGCAGGTCTACACTTAAAACCCTACAACGGCACTTCAGTGAAGATGCTACTATGCTGATGGGAGAGCTTCTTCCATCGGGGTAGTTAATCTACCTCTGTGAGAGGCAGTAGCTACATCAGCAGGAGAAGCCCTCCCATTGACATAGCTCTGTGTATACCAGGGGTTAGTTTGGACAACTGTGTTGCTCGAGGATGTGGATTTTTCACACCCCTGAGCAATGTAATTATACCAACGTAAGTTTGTAGTGTAGACCTGGCCTAAGTTTAAAGAAATGATAATAGCCATTTAGCAACAGCAAGATAACAGCTGGAATTCTTGGATTTAAATTTGTCTTTAAACTTATAAAATAGAAATTTTATCATTACAAAGTGCCATTTTATAATAACAATAATTATTTTTAAAATCATTAATACAATAAAATAACTACACCCTGTTTCATGCAATTGCCTAATAAATTTGCAAAGGATACATTCACATTTATTGGTTAAAAAGAAATATTATGTATTGATTAGAGAGGAAATCTTTATATGGGGTGCATTCTATTTATTATCCTTCATTAAAAACTCCATTTGAAATGTAAATCTCCACCGAGGAAATGAAAAGCAGGTTAACATTTATCAAAAAGGTAGCACTTCCATTAGAGCAGAGAGCCCTAACATCTTGTAAAAGTGATCGTTAGAATTAGATTGCTGACACATTGAAACTGTCATCTAATGTCAGGGTTCTGTGCTCTCCTTTAGAGGAAAGTCCTATTGTTTGGGTTAGCAACTTTACTATGAAAATGTCTATAGTGAACCAGAAAGCTTATGTTCAAATAGATTTGTTAGTCTCTAAGGTGCCACAAGTACTCCTTTTCTTTTTGTGGATACAGACTAACACGGCTGCTACTCTGAAACCTAGCATTTGACATGTCTCAGCAGTTCTCTTTGTGAAGGGGATAAAGAGGAGTTAAAAAGGCTGAAAGCCCTTTAATCTCCTGCCAGGGAAGCATATAAGTAAAATAAGTTCAAAGCTGACTCTTGGAACAATGACTGTATGGTGATTATGGATTAGGAAAGAAAGCCTTACAAGGCACTAGTTGTAGGATGGTATTTCACTCCTCAGAACAGGACATAACATTTATAGGCCTCATTATTACAAAGGTTACTTATACTGTACCCTTTTAAAAACAATTTTTTAACCCTTGTGGAATTTTGTCCTTAAAGGTAAAAACTTTTGGCAAAAGAAATCTACTGGACATCATCTCTCTCTCTCTCCTGTGTATATATACTGACTGTATATATAGCTATCTAGGCAGCACTAAGTCAGTCTAATGGGTATTTTTCACATAGTGTTGAAAAGTTGTAAATCCACATAACTGTGCAAGTAATAATAGGTGTCAGAAGTCAAGAGGGGATGTTAGTAAGAAATGTCTTGACTATATAACATTTTTTTTCAAGAGAGTTCATTTTAAAAATAAATGAATATGGTGCCTCTCTTGAGCTCATAGATCTGTGGGTGTTCTGCAAATGAACACAGAGTAATTTGATGGTGAAGTCATAAAGATGTTCTCCTTTAAGCAGTTGTGAGACTGAACAGAGGGCACAAACATTTGTAGCCATTATCAACATTTCTGTTGGATCTATTGAAAGTGAAATACAGTAAATGGCTTGTAAAATTTTACGATGTTTGTGACATGTAGATGTATTTAAAAATATATGACCTATAAAGCCCTAAATGGCTCAAGATCTACCTACCTGAGAAATTGCCTTTCTCATCCATTTGGTACTGGCCTTATGGCAGGGTGTTATCCTTGAACGACCCTCAGTTTTGGAATCCACTCCCCCTAATCTGAAATACCCCAGATTTGCTGACCACAAGGCCTGTCTATTCAGGGTTGCCAGTTCTCACTATTTTATCATGAGTGTCATGATATTTTTATTAAGGTCACACCTCCTAGAGTTATGTGCGCTGAATAGCTCAGTGTTCATTTTTTTAAAAGTAAGGTTTTAACCCTCATGATGGTTTGGAAACATGACCCAAGTGTACCCTAAAGTGTACCCTCAAAAGCAAGGCAAATAAAAAGTACTATTTCTTTTTTAAACCTCATTGGGTTAAAAACAATGTCATGATTTTGGAGGCCTGAATCAAGATTTTAGAATGCTTGGATTGATGATGCTGGCATTTTGAGAGGCAGAGACCAGACTGGGCCAATATCTGTGGGAAAGGATGTTGTGTGGGAGAGGAACTGCTTTAGAGGCTGACTGTTATTGTTGTGGACTGCTGCTGGGTTTTGTTTTGACTGACTGTATTTTTAAACTTTGGCAGAAGCTCTTAGAATATAGGAAAAGTTCTTTTTTGAATGGGTTGATAATAAAAATAGTAATTAATGCTTACAGCTTAGATTAAATAGTGAAGTTTATTGGATATAAGTATTTTTGGGGTGTACACCTGAAGCTTTTACACAGTATTAACCCAGGCAGAAATCCCATTGAAATTAAGGTCTTCAGGACTGGAGCCTTCATTTTTGCAAGTAAATGTGTGCCTGTATAGCTTGAAATAGTTGACAAATAGAAGATATGCCTTTTGGAAAACTTCTTATAGAGAATGTCATTCTTTAAGAGTATAGTGTTTTCTTTAAATGGAATTAAATGTTTATGAAAGATGCCAGAGACCTGATGCAGGAGAAAGTATGAGAAAAGTTTTGGAAAATACCTGCTACTTGTTGCACTCTGAAGACATAGTATTTGCTCTT